ATACAACTGTCTTGCATACAACCAGAAATGCACCAACCCTATCCTCAAAAGAAGATGCCAAATCCTTGGATGATATTTACTCTGGTCGATATTCGTTAACTTAAACACTATGATGTAACATTAGTAGTACTTAAATATTATGATGCAGAGTCAGTATATCTTATGTTATCAGATAAGGTGATAAGAGAAGGAAGAAAATTATATTTTCTGAAATTTGCATATGGATTTTCTTATGTATGTATATACACATATTATTAGCAAAACAAGGAAGAAATACTTATAGCAATTACAGTCTTCTTTTTCTTTAGTTGATCACATGGTCATAGCTGGTATTTATACCTACCTTTTTCCATGACCCAATCCATATCCCCTTTGCCCTCAGCAAGTATCTCAGCTGATTGTGGTTCTTTACCTGCTGAGGGTGACTCAGACCTTCAATCCTGAATGGTCTGGGCCATTAGTAATCCTGCTTGAATTGGATTGTTGTTTTCATTAGCTTTAATCACAGGGCATGGTAATACTAAGAGCTACCCTAAGGGATCTCCTGTATTTCAGACATACTCTCTCTCACTTCCACTGTAGTGTAACAGTTTAGTTTCCTCTTGGTAGTCAGGATCAATTTTTCCTAGCCAGCACAGTAACTCCTTTCTTGGCCTGTTAATTCAGAGGCATGTGGTGCTCAAAGTGGCCAGGTGGAGTCTTAATTTCCTGTTCAATGGGTTTATTATTGTGTTTCTTGATGGAAATGTTCTTCCCTTTGGAATGAAGACCTCTAGACCAGCAGAGCATAAAGTCACAGGGGCAGAAAGGAGAAATTTTGCTAGTGAGACACTAGGGTTGTTAGAATTTCCATTCCCATTTCTACCCCTTGATTCCTAGACCTATGAATCCTGGCTATGAGAAAAACAGCACCATTTTTTGGACACTGATTGAGAGCACATACAGCCTCCTGGAGAACCTTGCCTCAGCTTTGCAAGGTATTGCCACTTTGCTCGTACTGTAACTGAGTCTTCAAAAGTACATTCCACTGTTCTGTCAAGCCAGTTGCTTCAGATTGTTGGTAAACATTGTAAAACTAGTGAGTTTCATGAGCATGGGCTCATTCCCCACACTTCATTTGCTATAAAGTAAGTTCCTTGATCAGAAGCAATGCTATGTGGAATGCCATGATGGTAGATAAGGCATTTTGTAAGTCCATGAATAGTAGCTTTGGCAGGAGCATTGCATGCAGGGAAAGCATATCTAGATCAAAAGTAAGGGTCTATTCCAGGAAAAAAAAGTTGTCGTTCCCATAATGGAAGCTGTTGAGTGTAATGAACTTGCCACCAGGTAGCTAGCTGGCTGATTACCCTGGAGAATGGTGCCACATCTGGGAATCAGTGTTAGTGTCTGCTGCAGATTGAACACTCAGAAGTGGCTATAATAGCCAGGTTGGCCTTGGTGAGTGAAAGTCCATGTTGGTGAGCCTATACATCACCTCTATCCCTGCAACCATGGCCACTTTGTTCGTGAGCCCAGTGGATGTGGTGGGGTGGCTGGGCAAAGAGGCTGATTCAGTTTGTCCAATGTGTATACAGCTGCTTCTTTCTAAACTCCTTCACAACCTTCTCTTTCATTTGTTCCATAACATCTTCCTTTAGCTGCTTGTGTCCTTACTGTATATTCTTTTCCTGGGCCATTTTATCAGCTACCTGCTAAGAGCTGGTGACCTTCATATATTTGCTACAGAGTCTTCCTCAATATATATTGAACATCAACTCAGTGTCAGGTATTCTTTTACATATTGGGGTTAGAGGCAATGATCTCTGAGCTCATGAAATTTACATAGATTATTTAAATTATTATTTAATTTTATTCATTTTTATTTATTTTTTTGAGATAGAGTCTCACTCTGTCACCCAGGCTGGAGTGCAGTGGCACCACCCTGGATCACTGCAAGCTCCGCCTCCCGGGTTCACACCATTCTCCTGCCTCAGCCTCCTGAGTAGCTGGGACTATGGGTGCACGCTGCCACGCCCAGCTAATTTTTTTTTTTTTTTTTTTTTTTAGTAGAGACGGGGTTTCACCATGTTAGCCAGGATGGTCTTGATCTCTTGACCTCATGATCCACCCGCCTTGGCCTCCCAAAGTGCTGGTATTATAGGCGTGAGCCACCGTGCCCGGCCAAAATTATTATTATTTTGAGAGGGGGTCTCACTCTATTGCCCAGGCTGCAGCACACTGACGTGACCATAGCTCACTGTAGCCTCAACCTCCTGGGCTCAAACAGTTCTCATGCCTCACCCTTCCTAATAGCTAGGACTACAGGCATGCACCACCATGCTTGGCTTATTTTTAAATACAAATTATTAAATTTCATAAATAGTAATACAAATTGGTAAATTATAAAATATGATAGAAAATGGCTAGTGTCTTGGGATGGGGGAAGTAAAGGTAGAGTGGGGGAAGTAAAGGTAGAGGAGGGTAAGAGGAGCTGAGAATGCTGAGGGTAGGTATGGCCAGTTTGCATTGTTGAGTTGGGTGATAAGGGTAGCCTCTATTGAGAAGGTGAGTTTTGAGCAAATAATCAGAGGTGGTAGTGCAGTTAGCCATGAAGAAATCTGAGGAACAGCGTTTTGTAGCTGGCATGTTCAAGAATTAGCAGGGAGACTTGTGTCTAGAGCAGAATGAGCTAGGGAAAGAATGGTAAATTGGGAAAGGAAGTTAACGAGGTGATGGGCGATGGATTAGGTATGGCTTTGTAGTCTACTAAAGACTTCTGCTATACTGTGAGTGAAAAGGGTAGGCTTTTGAGGTTTTTGACCAGAAGAGGCACATGATCTAAGCTATAATTTCAGAAAGACTGGCTGCAATGTTGAGAATAGAATGTAGGCTGGGACAGCTTTTAGGAGACCATTATAATAATCCAGGCAAGAGATTATGGTGATTTAGATCTAGGGTGGTAGCAATGAGGGTAGTCAGATTTTGGATATATTTTGAAAGTAAAGCCAACACAATTTCTTCATATATTTCACATGAGTGTTAGAAAGCTTTCAGAGAAGAGGAGTGTGTTAGTCTGTTCTTGCATTGCTATAAAGAAATACCTGAGGCTGGGTAATTTATAAAGAAAGGAGGTTTAATTGGCTCATGGCTCAGCAGGTTGTACAAACATGGCACCAATTATGTGATGCCTGGGTGGGGCCTCAGGAAGCTTACAATCATGGTGGAAACAGGAGCAAGATAGGAGGGAAGTGCCAACCAAATCTCACATCAACTCAGAGCAAGAACTCATCACCAAGGGATTGGTGCTAAGCCATTCATGAGAGACCCACCCCTATGATGCAAATACCCACTAGGACCCACCTCCAACACTGGGGATTACATTTTAACATGAGATTTGGAAGGGACAAACACCCAAACCATATCAAGGAGAAAATAGCAAGGAAACAGAAAAGGAATGACCAGAGAGATAGGAGGAAAACCATGAGAATATGATAGATTGGAAGTCAAGGAAAGAAAGTGTATTGAGCCCTAAGGAATATCTCTTGTGTCAAATGTTCTGATAGGTAGGGTGAGGTCTGAGAATGGACCATTGATTTAGCATTGGTAATTTCCACATTGCCGAATTAATTTTATCATGTCTAAAGTTAAACTCTTTGTCTTCCATATGTTTATTTTCTTAGTTATGTCTAGCTAATTGCCCAAACATTAGAATCCATGCATCTCTTACTCAGAATTCTGTGCATTTTCAACTATTCTAGGGAATGAAAGTCAATTCAAAAAGGCTGGTAAGATTGTTGAGTAGTTTTGCAAGATTCTTTTAAGTTGAACTGAGCAGTTTAAGTTTTATTCTACAAACTATTGAAGGTTACAGATAACATGAAAAGGTTTATATTTACAAAGATAACTCTGGGTCAGAAATGCCTCTAGAAAGAAAAAGGCCATAAGACACAGATACAAAGTTTCTTGAACTTCCCTACCTTAGTTATTTTTAGGATGAGTGTTACATTCTCTCATTTCCTGTATGTCATTTCCCTTGGTTATTCAATAGTGCAAGTCAAAGGATGAAATCTTTCTATTAACTTAGTTAATATTAAACTAAATCTACAGTGATAGTTTCATCTCTTTTAAAATAGGGATAAAGTCTCTTCAAGTATTAAATAAAACTGTGCGATTTCAGCAATGATTTTAATGTTTACATGATATTAATTAAGTTTATGGTTCTTTATTCTTTGCGATATTTAAGAATATTTCTTGTCTGGGCGTGGTAACTCACGCCTGTAATCCTAGCAGTTTGGGAGGCCGAGGCAGGCAGAGCACTTGAGGTCAGGAGTTCAAGACCAGCCTGGCCAACATGTTGAAACTCTGTGTCTACTAAAAATACAAAAAAAATTAGCCGGGCTTGGTGGTGTGTGCCTGTAGTCCCAGCTACTTGGGAGGCTGAGGCAGGAGAAAATGCGTGAACCAGGGAGACAGAGGTTGCAGTGAGCCGAGATCGTGCCACTGCACTCCAGCCCAGGCGACAGAGCGAGACTCTGTCTCAAAAAAAAAAAAAAAAAAAATCAGCCGTGTGTGGTGGCGCGCTTGTAATCCTAGCTACTCAGGAGATACCCATGTTCGCTAGGCTGGTCTTGAACTCCTGACCTCGTTATCGACCCGCCTCTGCCTCCCAAAGTGCTGGGATTACGGGCATGAGCCAACCGTGCCCAGTCATTTTTGTATTTTTAGTAGAGACAGATGAGGCTTCACCATGTTGGCCAGGCTGGTCTTGAACTCCTGACTTCGTTATCCACCCACCTCGACCTTCCAGGGTGCTGGGATTACAGGCATGAGCCACTGAGCCTGGCCGAGACTCTGTCTTAAAGAAAAAGAAAATAATATTTCTTAAGTCTTTTTTAATCAGATGTTTTCTATGTAACCTAAATGTACTTTATACTTGGTTGAAAATATTTAGTTAGATTTCTAAGTAGCTATTTCATGACTTTATGGGATGTAGATCTAATTATGTCCAATTTTTACAGGTATCTTCTCTTAATGGATCTCCAAGATAGAAATGAAAAACTCTTTTATAAAGTGCTAACGTCTGACGTTGAGAAATTCATGCCTATTGTTTATACTCCCACTGTGGGTCTGGCTTGCCAACAATATAGTTTGGTGTTTCGGAAGCCAAGGTATGTCAACTTTTATTTTAAATGCAACTTGTGTCTTTATTTATTTTTGTAAGTTTTTTTGCAGTAATTTAAAATTCGTTATTATTATTTTAAATTTGACAATAAAATTGCATATATTTATGATGTACAGAGGATGTTTTGAAATGTGTATACATTGTGAAATGGTAAAATCAAACTCATTAGCATATGTATTATTTCACATTCATACCATTCATTTGTGGTGAGTATGCTAAAATCTTAGCAGTTTTCACATATGTAGTAAATTATCCTTAGCAATAGTTACCATGTGGTACAATAGATGTCTTGAACTCATTCCTCCTGTTTAACTGAAATTTCGTATCCTTTTCACCAGCATTTCCCTAATCCTGCAACCCTCTCCCCGCACCTTTCTCCTATCCTCTGGTAACCCATTCCTGTCTCTGCTGCTATGAGTTTGACTATTTTTAGGTTCCACATATAAGATCATGTGGTATTTGTCTTTCTGTATCTGGCTTATTTCACTTAAGAGAATATCCTAAAGGTTCGCCGTATTGTTGCAGAATTTCTTCTTTAAGGCTGAGTGGTATCCTAGTGTGTATAGGTACCACATTTTCTTTATTCATTCATCTGTTGATGGACTCTTACCTTGATCCCATATCTTGGCCATTGTGAATAATGCTACGGTGAACATGGGAGTACAGATATCTCCTAGACATACTGATTTCATTTCCTTTGGATACATACCCAGTAGTGTTATTACTAGATCATATGGTAGTTCTGTTCTTAATTTTTTGAAGAGCTTCCATACTGTTTTCAATAATAGATTTACTAGTGTACATTCCCACTGAACAGTGAATAAGAGTTTCCTTTCCTCAGGTTCCTCGCCAATACGTATTGTTCATCTTTTTGATAATAGCCGTTCTAACAAGTGTGAAGTGATATCTCACTGTGCTTTTAATTTCAATTTCTCTGATGATTAGTGATGTTGAGCAACTTTTCATGTATCTGTAGGTCATTTATATATCCTCTTTTGAGAACTGTCTATTCTGGTATTTTGCTCATTTAAAAAACAGGTTATTTGTGTTCTTGTTATTGAGTTATTTGAGTTCCTTATATATTTTGAATTAATACCTTATGAGATGTATGGCCACAAATATTCTCTCCTATTCCATAGGTTGTCTCTTCACTCTGTTGATTGTAGTGCTGAGCTCTTTAGTTTATTATAATTCCATTTGTCTATTTTTGCTTTTGCCTATGCCACTGGGGTCGTATCTAAAAACATCACCGCCCAGACCAATATCATGAGGCTTTTCCCCTAAATTTTCTTGTAATAGTTTTATAGTTTCAAGTGTTAATTTTTCTTACCTATTGAGTTGACTTTTTTAAAAAAAAATATGGTGTGAAGTAAGGGTCTAATTTCGTTCTTCTGGCATTTGGAAGACCAGTTTTCCCATCACCATTTAATGAAGAGACTATTCTTTCTCCATTTCACTTTTGTAAAAAAATCAGTTGACTGTAAATTCATGGATTTATTTCTGGGCTCTCTATTCTGCTTCATTCTGGGCTCTCTATTCTCTTTCATTGGTCTGTGTGTTTGTTTTTATACTGGTACCGTGCCGTTGTGATTACCATAACTTACAGTATATTTTGAAATCAGGTAGTATGATACCTCTAGGTTTGTTCTTTTTGCCTCAGATTGCTTTGGATATTTGCGGTTTTTGTGGTTCATATGAATTTTTTGATTTTTTTTTTTATATTTCTGTGAGAAAATGTCATTGGAACTCTGATAGGGATTGTACTGAATCTGTAGATCTCTTTGGGTAGTGTGGTCATTTTAACAATACTAATTCTGCCAATCCATGAAACGGAATATCTTTCCATTTATTTGTGTCTTCTTAAATTTTTTTCATCATGTTTTGTAGTTTTCCGCATACAGATATTTCACCTCTGTGGTTAAATTTATTCCTAAGTATTTTGTTTTTTTGGTGGCTATCATTATTATTATTATTTTTATTTTTTATTTATTTTTTTTTTTTGAGACGGAGTCTCGCTCTGTCGCCCAGGCTGGAGTGCAATGGCCGGATCTCAGCTCACTACAAGCTCCGCCTCCCGGGTTTACGCCATTCTCCTGCCTCAGCCTCCCGAGTAGCTGGGACTACAGGCACTCGCCACCTCGCCCGGCTAGTTTTTTTTTTTTTTATATTTTTTAGTAGAGAGGGGGTTTCACCGTGTTAGCCAGGATGGTCTCGATCTCCTGACCTCGTGATCCGCCCGTCTCGGCCTCCCAAAGTGCTGGGATTACAGGCTTGAGCCACCGCGCCCGGCCTCTTGGTGGCTATCATTATTATTATTGTCTTGAGACAATCTTACTCTGTCTGGAGTGTAGTGACATGATCTTGGCTCACTGCAACCTTTGCCTCCTGGGTTCAGGTGATTCTCATGGCTCAGCCTCCTGAGCAGCTGGGATTACAGGTGCACACCACCACATCCAACTAATTTTTGTATTTTTAATAAAGATGGGGTTTCACCACGTTGGCCAGGCTGGTCTCAAACTGTTGGCCTCAAGTGATCCACCTGCCTCAGCCTCCCAAAGTGCCAGGAGTACAGGCATGAGCCACTACACCCAGCCCTGGTAGCTATTATTAATGGGATTGCTTTTTGGATATTTTTGGATAGTTTATAGTTAGTGTATTAGAAACATTGCTGACTTTTATATGTTGATTTTGTATCATGGAACTTTCCTGAATTTATTAGTTGTTACAGTTTTTTGTTGGAGTTTTTAGGGTTTTCTATATTGTCTGCAAACAGAAACCATTTAACTTCTTCCTCTCTAATATGGATGCCTTTTTTTTTTTTTTTTTCTTTTCTTTGCTTGCCTAATTGCTCTGGCTAGGACTTCTAGTACCAAATTTTCTCTCTAGATTTAAGATTTGGCCAGGCATAGTGACTCATACCTGTAATCCCAGCACTTTGGGAGGCTGAGGCGGGCGGATCATGAGGTCAAGAGGTCAAGACCATCCTGTCCAACATGGTGAAACTCCATCTCTACTAAAAATACAAAATTAGCTGGGCATGGTGGCATTTGCCTGCAGTCCCAGCTACTCGTGAGGAGAATCGCTTGAACCTGGGAAGTGGGGTGGCAGTGAGCCGAGATCGCGCCACTGCACTCTAGGCTGGCAACAGAGCAAGACTATCTCAAAAAAAAAAAAAAAAAAAAAATTAAGATAATAGAAAGTATTTCCAAATCAATTTGGGTTCCCTTTTACAGATAGTAAATGAATTTCTTTTTTGTTTTGAAAGAAAGTGATTGGCTGGGCATGGTGACTCACACCTGTAATTCCAGAACTTTGGGAGGCCAAGGCAGGCAGATCACCTGAGGTCAGGAGTTCGAGACCAGCCTGGCCAACATGGTGAAACCCCATCTCTACTAAAAATACAAAAATTGCTGAGTGTGCTGGTGGTCACCTGTAATTCCAGATACTACGGAGTCTGAGGTAGGAGAATTGCTTGAATCCAGGAGGCAGAAGCTTCAGTGAGCTGAGATTGCTACTGCACTCCTGGGTGACAGAGTGAGATTCCGTCTCAAAAAAAAAAAAAAAAAAGTAATATTGATCATAATTAAGCTTGCCTTTGATATGCTAATTACCCTATTATATATATTTTTACAGGTTAAAACAAAGATTCCAAATTTTTCTGAAATGAGGAGAATATTACTTTCTAAATTGAGTCAAAATTAAATAATCTTAAAGGAGCTCTTTTGTTCTTTCCCTTAAATGAAATAGTAGTCACCTTTGAGATGCCTAAAATATAGAACACAATTTTTCTAGCACTACTTATTCATTATATTAGTTTCAATACTTTTTGAAACAAGAAACATTTGTAGTAAATAAATATTAATACTTTTAACAACAGCAATGACAAAAGTTCAAGTTGAATATGTTTTTGCTACTTTTGGCTCTGAATTTAAAGATAAAAAACAAATGTTTAAAGTATATACCACAAACACAAAAGCTATTGAAAGTACTGTCCTTAAAAGGAATATTTCAGGGGTATTATCTGAAAGCAAAATTGAATGTGAATGTCATGTAGCTGTATTGATATAGTGGTAATATTTATCATACTGTGCTACATTACCCTTTGTATAAAGAAAAGAGTTGAACACATCATCCCTTTGTATAAAGAGAATAATTAGACAAGTATCTATAGATGATCTAAATGACATTAAATTTTTTCTATGGATACATATTAGGTATACATATTTTGGGGATATATGTGGTAATTTAATACATTCATATAATTTGTAAAGATCAAATCAGTGTAATTGGGATATCTATCACCTTAAATATTTATCTTTTCCTTATGCTGGAAAAATTCAGATTATCTTCTTCTAGCTGTTTTGAAATATACAATAGTTCTTATTTCTTCCATCGATCTGCATACTAAACTACATTAATAGCACATATCCATGTTATGTTTATATAATAGTTACATTAACAGTGACTAAATTTTTTTCATGGAAGAACAGGAGTTAGAATTTACTGTTAATTGTATTGCAAAGTAATTGTTTTCTGTGTATATAAGCATATTATTTTAAATATACAAATGATTAGATATTCATATTGAGAAAATAATGAAACAAATATTCAGAAAGAAGAAACTTAAAAATGCCTAGTGTCATCATACCAAAAAACCCTGACAGACACAATACATACTATTTTCCTTATAGATGAAGGAATCAGACTATATAAACTATTTCTTGCCTTACTATAGGCAAGAAACCTACAGTATTTTCCTTATAGATGAAGGGATCATACTATATAAACTATTTCTTGCCTTACTGTCTTCTCTGAGTAATGTATCATAAACATCTATGCATGTCCAAAAATGTATTTCTATATAAAGAATCTTAATACAAGCATAATAAAAAGCTGTTTTAAATTCAAGGATGTTTATTGAAATTCTGTTTCTGTGAGATACTAAGTACTAACAATGATAAGAAATGTAGAAGAGCTTGAATCAAA